TTCTGCAGTTTAATTCTCCCTGATCTTTGAGTGGATTTGGATGCTATTGGTCAATGTATTGTTTAGATTGTTGGAAACAATTTGCGCTTGTTGCTTCTTCAAACTCATGGAACTGGATTGCTTGCGACAATCCAAGAGTATCTAACAATGCAATAGTATGTTATTGAAATTATATCAAGAACATCAAGCTTGTTATTGAGGTGGTTGATCTTGTCTTGTTGTTTAGATTAGCAGCGCACCAAGTGGAGTGTGCATGAGAAGAATTTAACCTCAATTATTTTGGCGGATGCAATGAGTCAAAAGTATCATTGTTTGTTTGGATTGTTACTGCCTTTTGACTTCAAAAACTCAACAAAATGCTTGTTGATTACAGTATCTTTTATATTGATTCATCAATATAAAATATTTGATTTGATTCATCAATTATTGATAGCAATTTGTATTTTGACGTTCAAATGAGATTTTTTTTGAACACTATGTTGTATTGTTTTCATTTATGTTGTTTTACTTTTTATGTACTACACACCGGAGACAACTTGTTTAAGAACATTTGAGAAGACTATTGATGCAATTTGTCTGCTTTAAGGATATATGCTGTTATCGACATGCTCAGATAGTGTCCAGAATAAGACAAGCCGAACACTAAGAAGACTATGAATGCAATTTGTTTGTTTTGAGGACATAGACTCTTTTTGACATGCTTAGATGGTGCTTCAAATATGACAAGTTGGGTACATTTGAAAGTGGCATGTGTTTCTAATCAAATGGAACATGAAGATCGCTACTTAATTTGATTGTGATGTGATGCCTCATCAATTTGATCTCGAGGTTTAAGATTTTATATGTCTATATGTCAACAACATACTTCACATTAGTTGCAATTTTTTAATAATTTCACCGACAATAAAATTTTAACAATAAATTGTGATCTAAATGTTCAAAGCTCGTTACAACTTGCTTGTTATTCTTGAAAAAGGTATTGAAAAAGTTATTGCCTTAGTTTTGACTGATCGTTGTCATATTGTTGGACCAAAAGAATCTTGATTGCAAACCGACTGTCATGTGATAAATTGTTTTATTTTCATTGATCCCAATCGATACAAAGATCGACATTTTGTTCAAAACCTTGCAACATTTTACATGGCTAGTATCATAGCAAGAAGATTTTGTTTCTAGATTTATGCACTAGTTTTTGAACGTGACACAAATGCAAGGTCCAGGAATCGCAAAGTCAGTAACAAGATCATGTCATCTAGTGTTGTAATGGTTTTTACATGATTGCCAAGGAGTTTGTTGAACATTTCGATCAAGGATGTGGTTTGTTTATTGTGATGTTATTTGATAGCTTGTTTGATGCTGAAAAGAATGTTGTGTTTTGTTGGAAATCTAGTCTGGAAGCAAGGATACATCATATCAAATCTGAAAGGGATGGTAGCAATGCACCAGCATCTTTTTCAATCACATGTCTTTCTCGCAAACTCGTGATTATGCTTCCATCAAGCTTTGTGAATTTCATCCTTCGATACCAATCTTGACTTGAAAATGAAATCAGCAACAACTGCATTGATGCACTGGAATGAAAATAAAAAGAGCTACAGACTACTCATCAAAGAGAAGATGTCACCTGCAAAATAGTGGATTGAATGGCAAAATTTGTTGATATTCATGAAACATCAAGTACTTTAAAACCTTGGTTTTTCCAAGCTGTGTACACTTGAACCTTTGTTAGTGTGTACATTGTTTCTACGCGTGTGGAGTATGATTTTTCCATATTAGTTGGGAGAAAAATGAGTACAGATTGTACTTAATGCATCTATCACTCAAGGATATCATGCATTTTAAGCAATTAATGTAAATTCAAGCAATTTAAGATTGTGGTCATATTTGTCATACATAAAAATTGGCTGACATCATAATCAACTACTTTATCACAAATTAACAGATGCTTGATCATTATGGATTTAATAATCTGTCACAGATAGAATTATAAATTATAAATGACCATGATTTGGAGGAGCAAATTATTGTTCGTGAGATTCAAATGATTCCATCAAAAAATGAAAATCAACATAAATTTTAATTTAAAAATTCATCAAATTGGATTATCTTTTAGTACTAATCATTATTAGAATTTACAATAAAAATTCTCCATGTTCCATAAAAAAAATTGAACTACAAAAGAAAAAAATCACAACAAAGTATGTTACAATTTTGAAAAATATGTACACTTGCTGCAATGTCTTATTTATTTGTTGATCATATGCATGTGATCATAGCATTTTTTATGCAAAATAAATTCACTTTAAAGATTGAATTGCCTTTGAAAACAAAATTTCAGCTAAATTGGTTTAAAAATAATATATTTCTAATTATTTTATATAAATTAAACCAAGCTTTTAGAAAATGAATCTCAAGATTTAATGAGTATACAATAGCTTTAATATCATTATTTTAATATTGTAAGTTAATGACATGATATTTTTCCAAAAAATCAATCCGACATCAATATATGCAAATATCAATTGAAATATCTATTCAACATAAAAGTTTTGAAATAATCAAAGAGAATATGAATGATGTATGACTAGAAAAATATGAAGACAAAAAACTATAATTAATTCAATAAAAAAGTATTTAACATTTGTTTGACAGTATTAACATAGCAAACACTTAGATACATTGAATCTTTTTTATAACACATTTCAAGCTTTTTGCATTGCAATGTTAAATTGATGACATTGAGATGAAAGTTTTCGTCAGTTTCTTATGGCAAGATTATGAATGATCAATTACATTTGATGGTATGCCATATACTTTAAATTGATTTAGCTATGTAGAATATGATTACGTACATGTCAAATCCCAAGAATGTGAATTAGAAAGATGTGAGATAAATTCTAAAATATTTCCAAAGTACTAAATAATATGATATTTGTTTGATGATTTATTAAACAATGTCACATATTTGTTATGATACGTTAATGTTCATTATATACCAGATCTAGAAAAGAATAAATATACAATTAAACATATATTTACACTTGGCAGTGCATGTATTATTTAAAATTTTAATTTCTAATATTGCATAGTTAAAGTATGTTGCGGAAGACGTATATGTAACGACATAGATTTATAGCTAAAATATGATTAAAACAAGATTTTGTGACTCTTTATGTGATAATAGATAGAGCATTATAATTTGTACTGAACCAAGTGATGTATATTAGAGTAAAGCATATTGATATTAGACATCATTTATTAGAATTATAGTTTTTGATAAGAAGGCTGAGCTAATCAAGACTTAGAGAAAATTCAATCTGATATATAGATGAATGTCTTTAAGATACAAGTTAACGAAGAGATTGTTAGTATATACATTTTGATATTGGTTTGATAATTTTTATTTCAATTTGAATAAGTTAAGCTATTTAGTCTCATACTATATAAAATAATCAATAAAAACTATAAATCACACAAAGTTTTGATCTTAGAATAATAAACTTATGATGTCTTGAATGTGGTCTACAACTTTGAACCATGTAGTTACTTTGTTGGCAGTATGTATGTGACTGTTTTCACATATGAATGTTCATCATATTGATATGACAACAAAATTAAAAGATAATCTAATATATATTCTCATCATGAAACTTTTTTTCAACTGTAGTAGTAATTTTATAATAAATGAAAATATGATTTAATTCAAGATTCAACTTTTTAATCAAAAAAAATTGTAAAACAAATAGAAAAAGCAAAGAGTTGATATATCTATTGCTAATCCATAATAATAGTATTAAAAAAACCATTAATTCTATATTTAAAATATTTTATGAATAAATATCATCCATTTTGATTATGATCAATTATTAAAATATATTTTCTCTATTTTGAATTTAAGAATCAAGAATTGAATGTAAATTTTTAAATTTGCTTTTTTCTAAATTTCAAAATAACATGATTAAAATTTATCCAAGCATTACATTTTTATCTATTAAATTTTTCAAATCACATTATATAAAAAATTTCATAAATTTTTTTTCTAAAAAAAGCATAAAAATTCAATCATAATATAAATTATTATTTTCATAAATAATTATGTGAATTGGGATATTTTTTCCTTTTTTTATTAATACTTAATTCTTTATACATTAATTACTTAAACTGATTTTAGTCAAATTCTGATTCACATGAAATTACAATAATCTGAAAAAACTCATGTTAATTTTTCTTCAAAGCTGAAATATTGAATCATCGAATTGAAAAATATATTTTTTTAGTACGAATAAACTGTGTATATAGTTATTTGTCAAACAATCTATCATTAAACAAATGTTGTCAAAACATCTTTTGAATTAAAGATTACATCTTTTTGTAAGAGTTCAATGATTTTACACAGCTATTTTCATAAAGTTCAAATAACAACCAATGATGTGATCTTTGAAAATTATAGTACTTTCATGTAAGATTTATAAACACTCAAATGTAAAAACATGATGAAAAAAAATTTAGATCATTTCACACAGATATGTACAGTAGTAAATTTTCAAACATTATCAGATCTTAATAGATTATCACAAGACATTTATTATCTTTGAGAGCTAAAACATAGAACAGAAAACATCTCAGTAACATTGAATAAAAAAATCATCACTTTGATGAATGATATCATAGCATGTTGGAATTTGAACAATTAATCATTGAATGGAACGATTACAATCACTAATTATAATAAATCTTCAAACTCATATGCCTTGTGTATGGTTTGTATCAAGTTTAGGTTAATCTATGTGATTATGAGTTTGTAGTATTGAAAAAAATAAAATTATATTTGAGCTTTTGATATTTTCGTAATCTACATAAGAAGAAGCCAAATTAACATTTTATATGTCATTAGTTAATATTAATGTCAAGTACATGAAAACCTTACTGAAAATATATTCTAACAATATTGATGTAAGAACAAGAACATTATCACCAGATAATGACAATGTGTTCGTCTTAGAAAATTACTCTGTAAGCAGTATGTTCAAGATTGATGCATTCTGACAAATCGATGACTTATGCATCGATACATGTAACTTCACAAACGAGGTTAAAAGAGATATACTTTTCCAAAAAATTATACCATGTAAGTATGCAACCGAAACACGAAGACTAGACATGAAAATATAAGACACAAGTGTGGAACTTGATACAAATTCAAGTACTAAAAAGAGACATAAGTCTCTCCGCGATGTGAGAAGAAAAGATCTAGTGAGCAAATCCAAACAGGGGACCCCGAATGGAGACTGGGAGGCAGCCCAATCATCAGCGTGCAAGGACATTGTTACAGTGATAGGCGTGAAGGCTGATCGACGGTCAAGCCATGATATTCACGTAATTGCTTCACGAGAAGAGATTAATATGATCGAATGCATGTACTTCTGCACATCTGAGTCAATGTCCAAGAGGCCAAAGATGTGCGCAGTCCTGACGGTACTTGTGCTCTGAAATCGATCATGGAGCTGCACTGCACTGCACGCCTTGGGGTTGAAGGCTGTGGCTCGGCTGAGACCTTGCTTGCATGTCTAGGTGACGAGCTGGAGGCCTTGAGGGAAGTCCTGGCAAAAGCGGACATGGTGGTTGATCCAAGTCTGGTGCGCGTCCGAGAGAGCAGATTCGTTGCCCAAGCATTGAGAGCCGAGCGGAAAGTAGGCATAGTGATTGCAAGGGTCGACGGATTGGCCGAAGAAGCAATGGCGGCTCGACGAGGGCGCCGAGGATTGCAGGAGGCCGGTCTGCTGTGCGATGTCGCCTCGTAAATCCACGATCAGCGGGCGCAAGGCTCCCAAGCCCTGGGCGATGTAACCGAAGGTCGAGAAGCTGCTGGTGGCCACGCGATCGCTCAGACTCAGAAGCCACATCTCGACGAACGCTTTGTGCGCCTGGTCGTACGAGTGCCACTCCATGCCCTCGTGCGACACCATGTGCACACGCACCAGGCTCCCGTCCACCGTGGCCATGTTGGTATAGACGTCTCGCAGCTCCTCGAAGAATCTGATCTGCAAGCTCGTGACCAGCACCGCGTAGCTGAGGCTCATGGCTCTCGAGGCCCCGTTCGCTCGGCCGATGTTTGGCAGCATCTTATTGTCGACGAGGCAACACAGAATTCGATGGAAGGCTGCGTCGTCGTACTCTCCGCTGTTGGGGATCGAATGCCTTCGGATCTGGATGCCCACCAGCTGCTGGGCCTGCGAGAGGTACGAGGAGTAGATTCGAAGGATTTTGTCCCAGACAGGGTTGCTGGGAAGCAGCAGAGATCGGGCCAAGTGCGTGAATGCGAGCGACACGTTGGGGAAGAGAGAGACGAGCGGCTGCCATAGCTCGGGGAATGTGAAGAACCTCGGGACGTAGTATTGGTTGCTGGTCCAAGTCAGCCACGGCACAGATTTCAGACTCTCTCGGGTCGAAGGGCAGAAGAATTGCTGGTCCCCGTTGCTCTGCGCATGATCCAAATGCAGGCTGACCATGGCGGTGCAGCTGCTGAAATTCAGAGCAGATGCTTCGCCGAGAGATGGTGCTGCGTCCAGGGCTTCAAAAGGAAAGTCCGAGGGCAGCAGCCATGACGAATCCTGGAACGGCTGACACAGCAGTTTGGCCAGATGCCCTCGCGAGTCCATTAAGAAGGCTCGATCTGTGAGAAGGGCGTAGAGAAATGCAGAAGCCAACGACAGCAGTCGGTTGCCCAGGCCTGCTGGTCCTTCGATGAAAACCAGAACTCGACAGCTTTCCTGTTCACTTGATGTTGCTGCAGCAGCTGCGGACTTGTTGACCTGCAGGAACTCCTGGGTCCAGTTGCGGCCTTGCGAGCATTTGGTGTGAAATCTCTCGTACGCACGAAGAGCATTCTCCCAGGCACGAGATGGTGCAATCCTTTGCGAGGCTGGTCGATAATTCATGTGCTGAATCCTGCTCATACATGACGAGGATGCGTCCGAGTTCTTGTTGCGGGATTTGCTGGAAAATGAGGACGGCCCAAGCCCATTCACTGCCTCGACTCCCAGTACTCCAGACCAGGAGAAGTCGTCTTGCAGAGCCATGGCCAGGAAGAATAAAATGGGCCCAATGAGAAGCGAGAAGACTGCGGTTTTGTTCCATGAGCTCTGTGACTTGGAATGTCGAACACAACCGCAGTTCAGCCATCTCCCCTTCCCCATTCAAGTATCGTCTACAATTCTCTCCACACTCTCCAATCCCTGAGTCTATTCATCAAAATGGCGTGAATGGGATACTCGCTGCATTCATGAAGGAAACAAATCATGCGGCCAGCGGCTGGTGCCCAGACAGCTAGTTCAGATGACGACCGAGAGCAAATCCAGTTGAGATGCCTGCGACAGCCCGCTGAGCTGAGACCCAGCTCTATTCGGATTTCTTGACGACTGACCACGTAGCTGTTCTCGTTCGACATACTCTTCCGAATCTAACTTTGTGCTTAATGGACAGTTTCCATGCGGAGCAACGGAGCCTACGAGGGCCTTGCGGCAGCAGAAACGGCCCAAGAATGTTCGAACTCCGCGCCGTTTGGCAAGAACCCGATTTGCGTTTCTTGTCCCCGGTCTTGGAACCTCGTTTGCATGTGCGATGGCTCCGATCTTTCATCCGTCGCCCCATGATTACAGTTGTGTTGCCCAAGGCACCGCAATTCACCCACCGCTGGAGTGACGGACGCCAAATCCTGTGAGAGTCCTGTTTCCACGTGGTCAGCGAGAAGGCGGACTGAAGCGGTGGGAACACAGAGGCGAGAAACATCGTTCTGCAATATCCTGCACGACCACAAATGATAGCAATGTGTCCTTACCTGTCAAATCAGCGTGTTGACCTGCATCTGCTATATACATCTCTCAAGCGATGAACGGAGCCCGAGCTCTAAGTGTAAAACACGATGTGGTCCATGTGGAAGTTATTCAGAGTTTCTCACGCCGCAGATATAAAAGATCAGATCGTGCAACACCTTCCAAGATGCATAGCTCCAATGGCACAGAAATGCTGCCTTTATTAGCGAAAGGCAAGGCCTATGCTGCAAAGAAAGTTTGGAGTTGGAACGTCGAAAAAGGTCTAATATGCAAAGTAAAGTTACATATGCAGGACACTGAAGAGTATGCAACTGGAAGCCTTAATCATATACTAAGCTCTCGACGTAATGCTCTTAGATGCATCTTTGCTTCATTCATGATACACTTTTATAGTGTATTTGTAAAGTGTATCATGAAGAATTCATATAAATTCCACCTTCCTGTCTAATGCACATATGATACCGGCTGCAGTCATAAATTGCCCATTTCTTTTGTGGATAATAGACTGAGGAATTTATGCTGCAGCCGCACCACCAGGGGCGACTAAAATGAAGAATTCAGTGACGATGACTGTCCTCCATGGTTCACTGCTTCACAAGAGTGCGATCTTCATAAGCTGGAATCGATTGTTTGACTAGCCGACCAGCGAGCAGTACCTTCTGAACATCGCATATGCCTGTAGGAGCGTATCTAATACCAGACTTAATACGCGTTTACGATTGAGCAAGGTGCTCGGACTTTTTTCGTCAATAGCCCTTGATTAGTTTCCTCAGTCATGACTCAGCAAAGTTACTCCAAAGTCAACTCCTCATTATAGATTGATTTAGTTTCTCTCAAAGCCTTCAACAGGTCTTACCTTTAACAGATATTACATACATATTACTATTGGGTGAGAACAAATGATTCAACATGAACAGCATTTGGCAAGTTTTTCTACTACTTCAATTGATATTGGGCTATATAGTAACTTCCCTGCCTTAATTTGATACTCGGATAAGTAGATAAACTCATGCTCGCTTCCTCTCCTTCGGAAGTCCCCACTATTCGTAGTACCCAAGTGCTTATATTCTCGAGATCCAAAAATGAATACTGAATTGTCTAACTATGGTACTCAAGCACTCATAATCGACTACCAACTCAACAATTTATCCTACAGAGGTCGATAAAGCTTCAAATTGTTATGCGCTGGTAATGACCGGCCAGACTGGTAGGAGGGCAAAGAATCTGCTACTTGGATAGAGATAAATTAAGAAACAGATATAATCGATGTAGTATGGAATTCAATGCCAAATTTCTTCATCAATGACATCATCACATCTTGCGATCCAGTTTGAATAAACCGCTAAGATCTACGTTCTTCCTACTCCCAACAAGACTGAATCTGATAAAACTACAGATTGTATGCTAAGAAGCTACTTGATGATGGTAGGCTCAAGCTTCTATACATTTTCTAGGCGACAAGGATGTAACACTGCTCGCTCGACCATCATAAGGATGTAGACTACCACATCAGACCCATTACTTACCTACCTGTAGAACCAAGCTTGTTTGTTCCCAGCGACTCAGCAAGAACAGAGAACAAAGAGTACACGATGTCCCTCAACCAATTTCTGACATGAGTTCTGAAAATACGAGACTGACGGTTATGGATGCCTTCGGTCTTCTGAACAAACAGGACGTCAATTCCTTCTATTGTGAACATGATGCTAGGGATTGACCTTTGGGGTCTTTTCCCTTGTTTGTGGCTTTCATTGTTTTTCAAAACACAATACAAGCGAACTTGTATTGTGTTTTCAAAAACAATGATGACAATGACATAGTGCAGTCCAAGGTCATGCTGGAGACGAAACCAAGAGCCCAACAAGTCATTGAATAATTGTACGGAGCATGATCGACATCACAATTAACTGTCAAAGATGGCTACTAAGGCCGATGTAATAGTAAATTTCGCTCAGAGGGAGTACTTTTATTCAGGGTTCCAATCAGGGCGAGCCTCAACTCACTTTGACTCTGGACGAGCCTCAATCACTTACTGGGTAGTGATCCTAGTGCCTAATTGGTCTAAGAACCCACAAAGATTCAAAGGCTCACCAAATGGAGAGCTATGAAGTACATGTGATTCAAAGAGTTACTCTTCGATTCTAAATAGGCTTTCTTCACGAAAGTAGTGTATACCGAAAAAAAAACCGTTCATTTAGACGAGAAACGAAGCCTCTTCATCGTACAGTGAAGAGTAATACGAGCCTCAATCACTTTATGGGTTGTGATCGTTGTGTGTACTTCGTCTGAGATTCCACACAGTTTCAAATTCTCACCAAATGGAGAGCTATGAAGTCCATGTGCTGTGTACACCGCGGATCTACATATTCCTTTCATAATTCTGTGCAGAGAATATGTACTAAACCTAGAGGGTACGTTCCCAGCAGATATACAAAGTGCACTACATGAAGAACATAACAAATCTGAAAATTTATGTGATCTCAATTTGAGCTCTAACAAGAGCAGATTTGCGACAATGTCTAGAACCTGACGGTCACGGCAACCTTCATTCCTGCTTTGCAGTGAGTGCCGACTCCACAGATAAGGTAGTAGGTTCCTGCCTTGGTGAACTTGATCATATCTTTTCCGGATTGATGCTTGGACCATGGACTGGTAGTCTTGCAGTTATCGTAGTCGGATTTGCTCACCACCATCACATTGTGGAGTCTGGCGTCATACTTGAAAACTGCAAGTCAAGGTATAGGAATTAAATCAACCAGAATCCTCAGCATAAGTGTGTGATTGTGCGACCTGAATTATACATATGTTTGAATCTACTCGCACGAGATCCATTCAAAGGGACTAGGGATGCGCGACCTATAAGTATAAGACCTGTAAGTATAGTCTGACAGTGCTTCGGAATATGTCAAAGTCCGATGAATTTTGAATCTAGAAATCTCTTGATGCTCTATTTTGCAGTCTAGGTAGATCTATGACGATTAATGAAATGTCGTTTTGAATGTTACTTACACAAGGAATCGTTGGGCCTGACTTTGGTTGATGAAGCCCAATTCTTGTAGTTGAGTCCAAGAGTCCACCCGCTGTTTCCTCCGACATTGACCGTAGCAGCTGATGCGTGTTGAGCCAAGATCAGCACACATAAAAGAAATGCTGAGGTGCGAACCGCACTGCTGCTTCCCTGGCTTTTGGTAGTTCCCATCTTGAATTGTCTGGAGACCGGAGCGGAAGCTGTCAGGAGTTGCAAATTGAGTTGCTGAGAAGAGAGAATATTGAACTGAGTGAGTATTGATACCGCAGGCTGCTTACTTTGGAGAAAGAGACCGAATCGAAGACCTTAAGTACTCACTAGCCGGAGTCAACAGTGCGCTCAAAGCTGTACAGTATGATACTCACAAGTCCGGAATGTAGCCATGCCGACGTGACTTGCCCACCAGTGTATACCACAAGTATGGAAGGGGAATACTAATTGTGGTGGAATACGTAAAATTCAAGATTTATTGTTGAGTTTATTAGCCTCACGAATGGAAGAAAATTCATCGAAAATCACTACAACTGGATGCTGCCTTTGCCGTCTTGACAATCGTGAGTCATTCCGGTTCGTCTTCTGTTGCCTCAGATAGTGGGACCGTTGGTCACCAACACATGGGCACAGTGTAACGAACTTGCTGTCAGAAGGAGTAGACGAGTGGAGAAAGCAGTTTCAACAGTATAATGAATATTAACAGTTCCCTCCCTCAACCGAGACGAGTCTGCAATCGAGGTCTACCATATGGCAGGCGGAATCCGCAATTAGCAGGAGCAGTGACGAGGTCTCAAGTTGTTCAAGTTGTCGAATGGAGGCCTTCATCTTGCACACTGTTTTGTAACACAGCTGTACTTTAGTTGACTTTAGAATTATAAACCCTTCGTCTTGCGTTAACCTTCCCAGGAGGCCGTTCTGTCCTTTGGCTCACTTCGCAGGTCGATGTAAGTAGATCGACTGCCGATTGCTTGATCAAGTTTTCTAATGCGGCCAGCAATTGACCCACAGACTAAGGTTACGTTAATCAGATCGGGGAAAGTTGTGGGTACCATGATCCAACTCACCCTTTGACACCAACCACAGTTTTTGGTTGTAAACGGTAAGCGTTTCGCTTCAGCTGTGCACTTACAACCAAACAGAGGTAAGCGCTGTTTGAGCACGAGCTGCTGCTCCACATACGGCAAGTTGCAAGGCACACGAGTACTCCTGTGGCCCTCTTGTCTGAGTCTTGCGAACCTTGCTCTAAGTAAAAGTAACAGTGGTGCGTATAATGGTCCTCAACGATGGCCTAGAAAAGGCATCTGATCGCTAGTATAGCTTGACAACCCGAATGTAGTTCGCTGACCTCTGTGATAATAGCAAAGTTGTGGATTGTTGGCAAATTTCTTGAAGCTAGGAACGAGTGGGTTTTGATCTAGAATAGGCACGATGGGAAGAAGTTCACTTCGGCTGGTAGAATGGCGGACTCCTACATCCACTACAATGTGCCTCGAAATTACGAGTTTTCTCTGCCTGTCTTGGGCCATAAGGCCAGCTAACCGCCTTGAGAGGCGTAGGTTTATTTCCTTTAACCCCTAGATTTTGATTCGCTAAAATCCCGGGCAGCTAGCAACCACGTGACTGAGTACACATGTGGTTATATTTTCTACTATTCCGCTATATAGTATCGAGATCAGACTCGACAAAGTTCAATACGTTTTCGTCCCATCATCACCATCTAGTGGAATTTTGCGTTCCAATCCTAGTAATTTACTTGCGTCAGTTGCTGGGACCCTGGTTAATCTAGTAAAGGGTTCATATATACAACACTATACAGAAAACATTACTTTTTAAAAAAGTATATAGTATCATAATCAGACTATTCTCATATCAATATTACTAAATTTCTACGCAAGCCTACCAACAAGTTTGTTTATGTTATCACAAAATATAGTATCATAGTGATTATGATATAAACAAGATATGTTTATTGAACCGGGTTTCAACAATAGCTAATGTTTACTTTAGCTTTGAATCACACCAATCGTCATAAGTTACAACTCTAATTTCTATCTCCATCAATGTTGTTACTCACCAGAATTGCTCCTTTAGTATCGCACTAACTCTTTTATCTAAGTGTTTTAACGAATTGAGCTGCCAATGCACAAGTCCAGTTAGTTCTGATACAAATCTCATCACAACATGTATGGTTTGAGAAACATTAATCAGGATAGGTTCCTTCATTTCAGATACCTCATTCCTTGGTTGGTAGTTGCCCTGCCAAACCTGCCGACTTCATTATTCAATCACGTTAGCAAACTGACCTCAAGACTGGATCGCTGTTAACTGTTGTCTCATTTTACAGCTGACAGGTGTGACGGAGGGTAGTATGATCATCCGGGTCTGGCAACATTACTTTGGCTGGAGGCGAACGAATATTTTCTCGCTCAACCTTGAACAGCAAGAACTGTGAGCAGATTCCTGAGCGATTCCCTCCCAAGATGCCCAGACCACGAAGACATCGAGACTGGCAGCACGTTTAAAATTAATGGAAAATAGATGAGACCCAGGATTGCTGGAACGAAAAGCACCGAACTAACCTCCGTTAATAGTGATAGCAAAGGTAGTCTCAGAGCAGATTTTACGCCAACTTACACCCCTCTTTACGGGGCGGCTTCGCTCGTGCTTAATTTTCTGCAGTCAATCAAAGTTATCGAACAAAAAGTTTCTTAGTCAGCGCAAGAATCTGCGCGCATACGTACATTCACGTACATGGACGTGCATTCCCCAACGCCTCCACCGCGAGTTTATGACGCTTTGAGGTTGGCATAGATTATAAGTCGTTTGGACCACCAAAAGCTTCAGCTGACTCATTACTGAACACGAAATGAATGCTGTGAACTTATTGATAAGGATGCGGTGGCTCTTGCAGTGACCGTGCCAACGCAGGTGTTTTGATCACGACCATATTTCCGGAGCCAGTCTTCGTTCCACCTCTTTCTACACTCTCTTATAACCCAGAATGTGACATCTGACATGTTTCATTCATCCGGAGCCCTTAGAAGTGCCCTGTTACTAGAAAGCATCCACAGTGGCTTTCCTGATTGAACGTCATGGTTGAATATTGAAGTTGGTATCAAAAGAACACAGTGTGATAGATCTGCGAAAGTCGCAGGTAGAAAGTTTCAAGGACAAATGCTCCTTCCCAGAAGAGGAAGCTGATGAACTATCCCACTATGTAGTTTCTGGTAAAAGCAAGTATTGAGTAGCTGAAACTGTAATTTCCAGTGATACCGGAAACAAAACACAATGAAACCATTAATGATTATAAAGCGGATTCCAAGCTTTGATGGGGATTGAAGCTGTAATCCCAACACATTCTGGAACTTGCGAATCTGATCATTGCACGGAAACAAGTACACAAAAAGCAGGCACGAACAAAAGTGCACCGAAGGAGGTGTGTGTCCTGACACGTGATCGGAGCATGAACATGGAAGGCTATCTTCTGTTACCTGCATGTGATGGCGTAGATCATGCATATGCGTTCGCCATTAGCACTACAGTAGAAATACGGAAGACGCATTACTTCCTGGTGTGTGCGGCTACGGTAGTACTGGATTTATTTTATCGTGTCAGCCTAATTAAGCCAGGAATATACCGTCCTCACTAGAACATGCAGAGCATGAATATTGGTAAGACGTACTATCGCAATGTGTATAATTTGGCGCTTACAAAGTAAAGATCGTCACCGATCTTTGCTGAAGATTTCATTCTGTATCTCAAAAGCTGTGGAACTTGGCATCCAATTTCAGCTATATTCAGAACTGGGTGAATATTCTAAGCCAATGTCACTTCAGCATTATGTTATGGAATGTAACTCCTGTCGTGGCAGAGAAGTGTAGCCCCTCCAATTCCAGACATGAAGTAGCACTGGATTTGAATGGTCAAGACCTTATAAACTTTGGAGCAGGGAGAATCAATAGTCATTCTTTATGCCTATAAAATGGCGTATTCCTGATGAGTCTCTAGTTGACCCTCTCATCGTCTAATCCAAATATCATACGTATACCACGGCGCATAACTTGGAAAATGGAATTTTATTTGGTGACTGGAGCGTGTCAAAACCCAATCCATATAACACTTGGGGAAAGGACTAGTCTCAGCAGTATGATCGTGTCTCACGAACATGATTCCCTGACCATGTTCTGACAAGCTTGAATCATGTTGTGCACTCCTGTGAAACAATAGTGGCGGATCTCATGTAAATAAGCTGAAAATCACTAGGTATATTCTCATCAGACACAGCCCCGAAGGTGGTGGGAAGAAGATTTGACTGATTAGATACAGAGGACGTCGATGTGAGGATCATGGCGCAATGCGTGTACATGTGCATCACTTGAGAACAGCCTACCTGATAATATTCTCGTCCACCTCTGACTATTAATTATCTCATGTAATGTATTAATGATATGGTCTCTAAGATTCTAATAGGCTGAAGAGTCCGAGTCCAAGCATCATCTCTAAAACAGACCTAATCAAGTTCACGAGGTCAGGAACCTACGTCCTTATCTGTGGAGTCGGCACTCACTGTAAAGCATAAATGAAGGTGACGGTCACATCCACCACCTTCTGTTTTACAGTAAGTGCAGTAAAGCAGAACTGAATTTAAAGCAGAACTGAAGGTGGCTGTGACCGTCAAGTTCTAGAAATCTTACCAAATGTCTACACATGCTTCTACAAAAGCTGGAATATCTTCAGGGGCTTGCAATACGGTCCCACCCCTTGAATTGTGAGCTTGAATTTCTTCAAGCAGTCCTAGACAGATATAGATGTCTGCATATCAGTTGCAAGTTTAGTAGTCATCAAAGGTGCCCCTTATCTAAATTCGTTCCTGGAGTGTATGATCTTTAGACTTAATGTTGTCAGTATTAAAATTCATCCCGTGTATCAGTGTGGCTCGTATTTGTTACTTTGAAACACTAGTCGCGCAGCATATCATTCTTTTCTGCCTAATGGGTGTACACTGAAGATACCCTGCCAATAAAGTGAATTAAGTTCTCTAAGAAATTAAAGTACTTCTGTGCTACACCATGACCAGAACTTTTAACTATTCGTCTGGTGGCTATACTCATAGAGAACGGAGAACTCTGTGGCTCATCTAGCAGTGAAGGAATGGAGAGATCAATTTTCTCTTGAACATTAAATGCCAGTCGATATCAGATGATTCTTCTTTTGTTTTGCAAAACAACAGCTTGCAGAGTTTAAGTCTCAGAAAGCAAGAGGCTGATTTTTAAAGATCAGATCAAACACCTGAAGATAGCTTTATCAAAGCTTGATGTAGAATGCTTATGAGAAGGTTTTGGCCATTTCATGAATGGAATGGGCTATTTCTCCAACTCCTGGAGCTAAAGTGAACTCAATGATTTAGTCCGACTCCATTGTTTCACATCTGTACTTTGCATCCTTAGATCTGGCTGGTGGTCTGATTCGTTCGTTCTGCTTGAGTCACTCTTGCTTCGAAATCCGAGCGGAATGTGCTAATTACAAGCCTCTTGTCCTGAAAGAGTATGGATGCGATACAAGCCACTGCCGGCTGATGAGTAAAAATGTTTTTTTTAAAGGAAGACATCATTTATCATGCTGAGTAGAGCTCAAGCAGGTTACATATACCGTCATGCAAGAAATAGGGGCACTGGGATTTACGTACGTTCTTAGCAGCACTAAGTTCAAAGCTGACTATTCGGATGATGGCTCCCTCATCTAGAAACTCGACCTTACATTCATCACACAAACAGTGCTGAAATGGCCGAATTTTTGTTGGTCAGTTATCTAATAGGAAAGCGGTCAAATGAAGGGGCTCTGAAGTTCTTGAAATTCTTTGAAATTCTTGCGAGAAACAGCACGCATGTACATAGTATGACAAGACTAATACATAAGTATCAGTCTTGTCAGAATCATAATTGTTTTCTTGACCAACATTACCTCTCTCCTACCAATCCATGAAAATTAGCATCTCAACTTTCATACTTGACCATTTGAGGTTGGTTTGAGGTTCAAAGAATTCAACTCTCTCCAAATTAAAATAGATCAATTAGAACACCTTCAGAATTCTTGGCACGGATGGCTCAAGACTGAAATAAAACCCGAAGTGAAGTTCAGAGATAGCTCTATGATTGAATCCGAGCATGTCTATAAGAGAAGTGGAAACTGTGGCCATTTGGTGCATGCCAGCTCCTTGAATCATTAGTAGCCTAGGAATATCGAATTTTTGTCATGACCATGTCCCACACGGGCGTGGTCTATAAGGTTAGCAAGTGCGGAACTCCAAATTCTCGGCAGTAAAGACCAGCTCTTTAAGAGAGCTACCTGCAGTCTACTTAAAGAGCTGCAATGCAGACAGTTGGAGCCAATAGTCGCTGAAGTCAACTAACAGACTTCGGCTGCAAATACCACAGCGCATCCTTGTGATTCTCCATGTTGTTCATTGCATCTCAATAGATAATACTCCTTATGTAGGTTGCTTGCACCGTAATAAGCCTTTGACTCATGACTGTGTATCATCTAAAATTTCGATCGAGGAGCTTCAGTTCATTCAGTGTGTTCTCCTACCCTGCAATCCTCCTTATAGTCTGCCTAAAATCAATTCTGCTTAGTTCTAATTAAGCATGGGCTAGTGAGATGATGTTTAATAACCGTGTCTCACTAAACGTCACAATGGAGCCAGTTAATGAATGACTCATGTTCTAGGATTGCAGTTTTCAAGTATGGTATCAGAATCCACTTCAAGCTTTGAAAGTCAACCTCTTCATGGTCCAAGCATATTTACAGGTAGGACACAATTACAGAAACCTCTCTATCACTTGTGCATATGGAACGCATTGCAAAGCAGTAATGAAGGTGACCTTCACCGTCAGGTTGTAGACAATCGAGTAACAGCTTTTTGTGGAACAGATGCGGTGTCTTCAATGATCTCTACTTGCACCTTGGAAGTCCGCTGGGGTTTCCACTAATTTCCTTGTATCATGGAATTACGGGGAACTGCTGTCATCTGCAATCCTATCTGAACGTAGACAAAATCTGTGGATGTCTGCAGATATTTTCTTCTGATTGTAGGCGTGCATGTATACGTTAATGATGTCTACAGATTTATGAAGTCTGAGAGTATCTACGTTGTGTTTGTCAGATGACTGGTTTCCTGTCTGAAACCGTTTTCCACTGCAAGTCTTTGTTTGAATTGTAAACTGATTTTACTGGCAGATATTGTAGGGTCGCCGTGCAGTTCTAAAATATCTCAGAATGTTGCAGTTTTCCGAAAGATTCACACAAATCGCATCTCTTTCTCCTATTTCTGTATTACAATGGAACATTCCAAAATGTAGTCAGCTAGGAATAGAGGCGTCAAGCTCTTTCCCAGCATCAAGCTACTCACAACAATTGATAACTAATCACAATGACGACGGTCGTTTCGGGAATCTAGTTCTGCATGAAGTGGTACCTTCTAATTTATCCATCTTCTAAATCTGATTTACTATAGATCGATTCAGTTATTAGTGTGCCATTGTATTTTGAATCACGATTCCCAATGCGCTGTCTGTCATCCTCCCAGCAGGGAGCCCTCTGTCAAATTCTCATCCCTGTCCCTCACTTATTTATCTTCGATCTTCGTCATCTGATGTGTTTGGGCTGAATGTAGTGAGATTGATTCTTTATCCGCCGGCTCGGCAAAGATGAAATTTGGAGTCACTCGATGATTTTGAATCTCGAGTCGGCGTTGAAATTTGGAGCCGCAGGACAGGAAGTCTAGTAAAGGAAGCTGTCCTTCCATGTTTCCAGCGGGGTCGGACCTGCAAATGACGAACAAGGCACCAGAGGAGCAAGTGGGCAACGCGCAACCCAACGTCGCTGTGTCTACACAACCTGTGGCAAAGAGTCCACCCCATGTCAAAAGCTCATCAGATCGAAGGCATGTTCGGCAATTAAAATAAACCGCGAGACTAGAAATGACTTCCAGTTTTTAGTCCGATTCATTAAATCCCAGATTAAGCTTGAAGCCTCTTATCTTTTACAACTATGGGCACAACTTTATGCTGATACACTTCCCTGCCTTGGCACTCGGACCAGTCCTCGTGTGTAGTTCGCGTGGTCTAGAAAACTCTGAAAATCAAACTACGGTGGGAAGCCATGTAAACACAACTCGCGCACACGAGGCGAGAAAGGCACGAGAAAATATTGCATGGGACCTGCCTGTAGTAACCTCATGACTCGACTGAGCACGAGTTGGTTGCGTCTTCGTACTCTGCCATCTCGCTGAACCAGAGCTGTACTGCATCCGCTCGGTTGCTCGGTCCAGTTGACCTGTAGAAGTTCTCCTCGTAAGCGTCTCCAGTCGAGAGTCTGAGAGCGCAGTCGTCAGCGGCAGCTGCTCTATGTGTTGGCGCAATCAGTAGCATACAATTCCATCGTGTTCCAGGTCAGGCTCCGGCATCATTGTGCGGTTTAGGGTGCTGGTCTGCTAAGGATTGGCCCTTGGCGAGACTGATGACGCTAGACGCTGCAAGACATATTACAGCAATCTGAACCAGCAAAAATCGTGGCCTCATGTGGAAACCCATAGCGAAACCGAGGATCCAGACACCTCGAGGCCGAAATTTCTTACATAGGAGAAATCGAGAGCAGAGTCGACTCGATCCGAAATGTACCCCGTTCCTTAGCCTTCGATATTGTCCTCCTATAAGGGTGGCTATCAGAGATCGGAGGAAGTAAACTCCGTACTCAGTCCGAGCGATGAGATCGCAGATATGCTTTGAGCAATCACTCCTGATGCTTTTATACAACCACAAGTTCTCAACTTGCTCAAGAGATGAGCTTAAACTATTGAAATATGTACATGTACAAGGCAAGATCGGGACCACATGAGCATTTTTTGAAGCCTTTGTTTCTGATAAAAAGACTTGGCGAGCATATTTAATTCATCCCAGAACGCTTCATGGTAAGCCTTTCTATAACTGTGACTTGGCATGTCATCTGGTCTCTACTATAGATCTCAATCATAAACAAATGTTGTCTGGACGCTCATCGGACGAACTTGAGATGTCAAAGACCTTGTCAAAGGTCAAGTCCAGTATCCAGCACATGAATAAACAACTTCTAGATATCCATGGGTGTCTGATGTTAGGATGTTAGTATATATGTTGGAGGGATATGAAGTGTCCACTCCTCCTCATTATACCGAACCAGACCATCTTATGTATAGCAGTATGAGAGTTTACTGAACGCATGGACGTGCAGTGTCCACCATGAAGTTACGATTTATTGGCCTTGGATGCTAGACTTCATATCCATATCGACTATCAAAAACCTTAAGAAATTAACTTGTCCTCATTTATGACTTTTGGCTCACAGCTGTATAATTGAATCGGTCTCAGATTATCACAGTTGCACCGGACTCAAGTGAGATTCGACGTGTTTCCCGATTCTCGTCCCATGCTGCTTTGTAGGAGCATGTAAGATTTGTAAGATGCTTATTTCCTTTATTTATACTCATGGTTCAAGGTGTTAAACAGATATGACTGTTCCTTTAAAATCTTGATCTCTGCAAAACCCACCAGCTTTAGCGAGAACACGATTTTCTGTGAGAATCAAATCATGAGCATCTCCAGATAGAATCGAGGATTTTACAATATCAAAGGGCGATTGAGGATCACATTCAGAGACTCTTTAATAGTAACCTTATTTCATGAATCAAAACTGAAAATTACCAACCTTCAAGTGTATCAATGTATATCTAACCTAAATAATCCAAAGTGCATAGAGTATTCAAAAAGAACATACACTTTTCTAACAAGATCAATATCAGAAATGTAACGAAATACTGAGAGAGAACAACAAAATCGAGACTGAAAAGTCAATGGCCAAAACAGTAAAATGAATGAAATGCATTACGTAAAATCTGTTCAGACTAATATTCATCATTTACTACGAAGAGAGTTTCTGAGTTTATGCCTTCAAGCATATCATATTCATATAATTGAAAAAATTATAGAAATTGCTGCTTACCGCGCATTAAATCGAGCGAATTTTGTAGTGAAGACCATTTGAGAAGTGACGAGGTGGAACTTTGTGGACCGGGCCCACCCTCCGCCAACTAACGGGATAAGGGACGATTGAACTGGGCAGACTAGACGTTGGCTTCAGAATCTCCTTGGCGCTGCACACCCTCCTTCTGACACCGCTGAGCGACATTTCTCTGAACATTTCTGTTCGACGCGACTCTGTAGTCTCCGACCGGAGATACTGAAACACCATGAATCGGGCAGTTGAATCTGGGGAGGTTGTCGAAATGCAGTCGAAGTTGTGACTCATGAGAATTGCAAAGGTCTTGTCTCTTGATCGAGACGACGAGAAGGCTGACGTGCCTACCAGCATCAGCTTTTGACGAATCGGAGCTTCCAGCGTCCAAATCTCGGGGGCAATTCTATGCGGCTATCGAGCGAGGCAGAAGACAGACACTAGATGCGATAGTAGAAGCATGTGGACAATTCAGGGCAATCCTGCTTGCTTTTCGCCTATGAATTCAGCTGTTGTATACCGACCTCGTGTAGTTTCTCTGTGCCCTACACGGCAAGAATCTCGTTGGGAGCCTCTGTGGTCGATCACGAGAAGTCACTCGGCCTGGAGAGCAGGACCTCCAGCAGTCGCCGGACAATCCAGCAGCATGATGAGGACCTGCCGCCAGTGCAAGCAGCCTTTCGATCCGGAGACAAATGATCCGCGCGCTTGCCGATTTCACACAGCGCATTTTGGCGGGGAGACGAAGAGAAAGTTCGAGAGTGTCTACACTGGAGGAACTATGGATACAGTGGGAGGGGGAGAGATTGTTGAGTACTGGCATTGCTGCGGGAGCAAAGACCGATTCGATCCAGGCTGTGAGGCCGCTCCACATTCATCGTACGACGATTAGGTTCCTCTGCGAAGTCCTCGTGCGTCGAATGGAGGGGGCAATGTCAGTAGTCTTGTATCGTGACTACATTCTACAATAATCCGCTCGTGTTCTCCAGCTGCACTGAACTAGCGAATTTGCCAACGGCCCTTCCTAGAGCAGAAATGACAATAATATGGGACACTCGCACCTACTTTACAATTCGTTGGGCTCTCTGCCCGGAGATTATGAAATGACAAGAATAAATATTGATTTCTGACTTTGGTGAACTAGTTTTCTCATTTCTGTTTCAGAGCTGTAATTTGGGCACATACCCGTGGACAGCACAATGTTTTAAATCTGTCAAAAATCTGTCATCAATGCACAGGTTGCAATGTGGTTGAGAACGCTGTCTAATACGAATGTCACAACACGAAATGTGTTAGCGCAACGAGTGAATTTATTCGTAAGCTGGGGTTACGAGTCGATCTTTCGCACCATACGTTCCACGCCAAACAAGGATGCTGTTACATAATCCAGCTTCGATGATAGTTTTCGTTCTCAGACGATTCGTTGATTAGTGGTATACAAGTAAAGTAGAGAAGGTGTCCACTTCGCATGCATGTGTTTGCGGGTATGTACATTACGTACACTACATTTCTTTCTTGGTTGCATAATGATTTCAAGACGTATGATTGATTGAACAACAACATCTCGCAAGGAAGATGATTAACGGTACTAATGTGCACGTGATTTATCTGGTGCATTAACAGTATATAACAGGATTCAAAGTGAATAGTCATTTTCAGTTTTTTGTTTCCATTAAAGTTTTAACTGTCTACCCTCTTTCTCTTTCGCGCTTCGATTGTTAAATCCACGTTTGGTGGTGCCGTAGAAATTCACGGTCACATTTCCCAGTTTGTTATACAACTTTACTTCCAAAGTTTTTTGGTTGATAGCTGTGTTGTAATCAGAACGATAGAAAAAGGAACGGCCTTACGCTTCGACCCTTGACAGCATGACCTGATAGCAGGATCGGAGGGAGTGTACCCCAAAGAGATATATAAACCTCTCCGAGATATCATGATGGACGCTTTTGACAGAAAATAGGCATCTGTGTTTATCGGCCCCCACTGATAGGCCTAACCCACCAGCCTTCAGTAAATCTGATAGCCATGATACAATATTTCCCATGCCAGAAGCTCCGAACATATGTCAAGTTCGTTCACAAGATCCTCTTTCACCAATACCAAGATACTCCCATCCGCCAAGCATTCAGTTACCCAAATTCGGAGAACACATGATCTGAAGTGATGAAATACAAAATTGAAGAGAAAATATAAGTTATATTTAAAATTTAGATTCACAATCCGATCGAGTAATCTCTCGTGACGTTTGATCTAGCAGAAAGTAAAAATATACCTCTTGTGAATTCTGAATGGCCAATACAAGGGAACTTGCGAGTGTTCAAGTTTGACCTAAAATAGGCCCTTGCAGTCAAAGTTCACATGTGAAAACGTATTCACACAATTGAGAAGTACATTATGGCTAATGAACACTACCATGCTGCAATAACAAGGTACGGTGACTCAAAATACCAATTCAGTAGAACAAGGACTGTTCACGACAATGACCTTTCTCAACTGGTGTAAACATCGTTGAGGATTGTGCATACCAATTGCATTTCAAAGACTCTGCCGAAGGGAATCTGAAGCAAAAACGCGGAGATTTTAAGAAGACAACCTCGGGAGCTCCAGTTTCTCTTATGTACCAAACTCTCGAAAATTCCAGGTCATAAAATTTGATTCTGCTTCATCGGTATACAGATTTCTCTAAACAAATCTCTAGGTTTGTAAAGCTAGACCCCGGCGGCTGCTGGCTTCTTGGGAGCCGCTTCGGTACCTGTAACATGTGAACCAGAGAGGCGCTCAGCATCACGAACGAGCACAGGCGAAACAAACAATCCAGAGCCCTGAAGCTTTGATTGACCGTCTGAGGCACAAAAAACGACATTCTAATGATGTACTCATGGAACCCTGAATTTTGATCGGCACTGCGGAATGTACCTTCTCTGAAGCTGTTCTTGAAGCGGCGGGGCAGGTGGCGGAGGTGGCGCATACGCCCGGTTCCGGTAGTCTTTCTACGGATAGCCTTCACACTCCAGTTGTCTGAAGAGAGGGTTCAATCAGCTTTGTACAGGCAATGCGGAAACTCGTCTCATCGTAAAACCGACTTGGCGACTTCAAAACATGGAGAGATAGGGACTTACACTTCCTAATGCGGGCGGCAGGGTAGGCACAAGCCGAGCAGCGGCTCTTCTGAATGTGGAAACTCCTCCGTCCACATCGCCTGCAGAGAGTATGTGTCTTGTTTCGGCGCTTGCCGAAACTTCCTGTTCCCTTACCCTGAATTCCAAGAACGTGCCCGAGTTAGTACCCATAGTTCCTGTGTTGATCTCGCTCCAGCTAGGAAACCAGACTTATTCATCTCTTCAAATCCATGTCCCCCAAAGTGACAATCTGATATTCCAGTAAAGCTCGATCGGTAGTAACACGATTGCTGTAAACCAAGTTGCGAATCACATCGAATTGCACGCTGAGACCCAATCGATCGACGTCAAATTCTTACCATCTTGCTCCGAAATCGGAAACAATTCGAAACCCTAAGGAATGTAGCTCAGACGGAGCCCTGCGTGAGCCGGGGTACGAGACAGAGAGGAGAAAGAGAGATGGCGAGTGAGAAGCTTGGCAAAGAATGGACCAGACGGGGATGGTTTGAGAACCCTAAACTCAGGGTCTTCACACGCCGTCGATGGCTCCCCACGAAGGCCGTGATCTGAAGGTACCGATGCTGCGTGGGAAGTCTCTACCCGTCTTCTCTCATTTACCCGGTTCCAACTCTGCCTCCAGACACAGTCGTCTTCGAACTGCGCAGCCACCGAAATATACCAGGCGACTTTTTTTACTTTCTGTACTACAAAGTACACCCTTCGCTTGCATTGGTACGTATCCTAAATTAGAGTGTTTCACGCAATGAACTTGAGGTTTTTCCTCCTTGTAGTGCTTAATTGAGAAAAAAATTATTATCAATACTTTTGAAAGAAATCTACGCATTTTAACAATGAGAACAAAGTGATAGTTGTCTTGTAGACATGTTTGACCATTTTGACCATCAAAATCAATTGATTAAAATACTATTACTTCTTATTATCATCTTAAATTTTAGAGAGATTTGCTTGATGTGACCCTGCGGAAAGTAATTTGCTTGATGGACCCCTCAGGTAAAGTTTTACCCGATGGGATCCCAACGACGGTGTGCCGTTGAACATAGTTCTTGTAATTACGATTACAATGCGGGAATTACAATCAGAGATCAATCCCTGATTATAATTTCTGGTGGATTATCACGGGGACAAAGATCAATTTTTCCAGAAGTGCAATTTGTTGTGCTTCAATTCTTCCGATCCCACCGATTCGCGGATTTCTCTGCTACCTCCCACCTGCACCCTCCTTCCGTAACCCTCTCTAGGTGTCGAGGAGCTCGTACCGGAAAGTGATCTGACCTGAAGTCTCGCAATCACCCATTTGTGGTGAACAAATAAACTCCGGATGAACATTTCTTTGCTCGTCACCTGGGGGAATGGCTGGATTCAGAATGACAACATAAAAACAAGTGAGTGTGATGGAGGGCGAAGTCCACTCTGTACGCGGGTGCGGTTGACTCGTTGCATTCTCTCTAGTTGTTATTAGAACATGGGTGACAGTGCATCGTTCATGGAGTCCCATCGGGTAAAATGAAAACTGAAGGTTACCATCAAGCAAATTACTTCCCGCAGGGGTCCCATCAAGCAAATCTCTCTAAATTTTATGTAAATAAACAACTTTTTATGATCTTAATTTTTGAATAAACCCATAATACTCATAAGATGAATTTTAAATAGTCAACAAATATTATGATAAATATTATGATTTGACAATTTTTTATGTAGTATTTCCTATCACTAACTATGTTATAGAAATTTTCATTTGAACAATAATATTCTAATTTTGATTTAAATTATATTTTCTAATATAATGTAATAGGTTACAAATCTATCAAACCTCTATACGAATAATTACATATATTATCACAAAAAAATCAGAAAAAACAAAATTATGTATTATCATTATTGAAAATTTTACATTATTACTATTATTATTATATCACCTTATAAATATGGTGATATCAAAATGACTTTAAAAAACTCCAAGTTTCAATTCGTTTACAAAGTTAAACTAAAAAACTTTGACTAATCATCAATGATGCTATAACTGATTTTTTAATATCATTGTTTTATTTAAAGAACAAGAAAGAAAAATATTTGAAGCTTATAAATATTAAATATAATAAATAATAAAATAAAGAAATGAATTTTTCTCAATATTTTGATCTAAGTTATTCCAATAAATTTTGTACTACATCTTGTTTTATGTGAAATAACACTATTGGTTAGTATTGACAAACTATTTTTACAAAAAATTTGGATTGTTGAAGATATTTTTCAGTTGAAAACAACTATGAGTGTTTTTAATAATTTGTAAATAAAAGATCCATGCTATCTTATCAAAAATCTTGAAATTTTTTTTTCGTAAAAATTACAAAATGTCGAATAAATTTTACATATGTATCAAATTTAATTTCATAATATAATTTTATTTAAATTATGAAATAATTAATAATAAAATTTTCCAAATCCTTCAAATCAATTTAATTTTGAACAAGATTTTGTAATCCGTAAAATTTTTTAATTGATTTCAAGAACAAAAATTGATGGAGATTTTTGAATTAGTTTATTGAAATTATGAATTTCATAAAAATCTTCTAATAGAAAAATAGAAACAAGAGTTCATGAACAAAAGGAGCTGATGTTAATGTTAAAATGCAAATAGATATATATGTGTCACGATGGAAGTTGTAGATCAAGAACACTTGCAAGGAGAGTTTATTTACATCTACTTATTTCCAATGATTTAGCTTTGAGTTTCATTGTATTCCAGAATACAATGTCAAACTAGAAAGAGAGTGGCTAGTTATTCCATACTTTGGGCTAATTAGCCTTCACCTTAGTATACTTTGGACCAGGATTGGTCTAAAGTTATAGGTGTCAATGGGTTAAGTTTATGTCTTATCTAACATGGCTGGCCTTCTTGCAAGCCATTGTAACCGCTGTTGTGGATTGCCCGCAACCAGCCCACACCTTTGCTAGTCTCATCTGACCCAATGCTTGCAGAGGTTGTTTCTTTCCATGACCTCGGTTGAAGTCGAAAACTAGAAGAGGAAAGACATAGCGCACTCACATGCATGATTACGGCTCTCGTTGTAGATGACGATTTGGTGCACCCAATGTTTCATCGTAATGCTGCTGTGGAGGCCGCTAATCCATTCACGCCAGAAGCATAATACCACCTGATCCAAAGCTGGATTCTTGCTAATTGTTGGAATCTTGATCCGATTCAATTCTCGCTCATCATGTTCACGCACCTCCACATTAGTCAACCCTTGAGTCTGTTCCATTATGTCGAGATTATCATCAAATGCAAATCATGCATGGCCATCATCGGGTCCTCGCCATCGGGTTTGGGCTTGCATCAGCCGGTCTAATGTGAAAGTTCTCCCGCTTATAACATTATGATGAATCTGATTATCTATGCGATCTAATATGAATTGTGTATCAGTTGGTAATTTGTGGCAAGCATAGCGTCATGCTCGTAATTTATCCAGATTATCATCTCGAGTCTTATGAATAGAAATTCATGTAAGAATTTGGACTTGAGCTTTCCATTTTGATATCATTGCAATCAACATTCAAGCCAGCGGAAGTCGCAAGCATTAGGTCAGATTGGATCAGATCAATAGGAGGACCAGCCGAGGTGCAGGCAATACACGAAGTGTGTATAGTGGCTTGCGAGGAGGCCAACCATGTTAGAAGAGCCATAAACTTAACACACTGACACTTATAACTTTGGATCAATCCTGGACGACCGTATATTGTACTAGGGTGAGGGCTAATTAGACTGCAGGCTAGAACAACCCCGATCGTATGTTCGGGGGTCGACGGCATACGATGACCGTCGTAACGGTGTTACCGTTCAGCAGTACAGCGCTTAACCTGTAGTCAATGCACCTTGGTTATGTGAACATGTGTCGACTATGAGATAACCACATTTATCCTACTCTTGCTCTGGCTTCATCGTCCGTTTGCATCAGAAATTCTGCCCACAGCAGGCCACTCGAGACTCGTTTGTTTGTGACTCGAGCTCGTGCTGTCTGAGTGCACTTGCAGATTTTAGGAAACTAGTACACGCAGAAAAGTAAAAGCCAAGCAGCTTGCATGAGCCGAACGGTGATTATCACATTCAGATTCGGATATAGCCGAACGGATTCTTTCAGAGAGTGAGCGGGGCACGCATGCAGTGCTCGTGTGTGAAACTCACTTTTATGGCTACCTGTATTGCTTCTCTTGGTCGAGATTTGCCACCATTGTATTGGTTTGTTTGTTGGCATTTGGGGTGCCAGGTTGGTCAATTAAGCAAGGCAAGGATCAAAACATTTGGTCTGTTGGAAAGGCACGCACTTTCACAACACCCTCGGGCTTCTGCGTGCACCTACAAATGTATCCATGTTGCTACAACACAGCAAAACTGTGGTCGCCGGCAAGACGAATTATGCCACCAGACAGAAGTACTTCGAGCAGCTCTTGTGTGTTTCCCACCGTTGAATGCTTCTGCTGTTTGTCAGTCTTTGTCTATTAGTCTCGCAATCCATCTCCCGAGAGAGATACGTATGGACAAAATGCACAAAAAATATGATTGGACTAATCAAACAAATTCAAAAGACGTATTTTGACAACTTATAGTTTACTACATAAATAACACTGTAGATCTCAATTGTGGACAACTAGCCAAAACATTCATGTTCAAATATTTCAAGTATCATCAAATACCATGACTCCAAACTCATGAAAGTAGAGTGTTGGAATCTAGCTCCAAGCTAAACAACTATCTCTATTATCATCTTTTGAGCTTTTCATTTTTATACAATGCAACTGAGCTTACAAACCGTCACCGTCACAAACATGAGTCAAGCCCAACCCACTCCACACTCGGAGAATCCAGGTCGACGCAAAGGGGAAAGTCACTCTACGCTCCCAACGCTTCCAGGCTCGACTCGAAGAACTGACGTTCTTCGAGCCGTCCCCGACTCTATACCCCTCGTGACCGGAACCCTAACTTTACGGCTAAATATAGTAAGTGTCTGAACTTCGTGAGCCGACTCGTAACTACATGACAGCTGTCGTGCGAATACATATCGTCATACACTCTACATCGCTGACATGCTACTCACATACACATACGCACACACATACACACATATAAGGCGCGAGAGAGTACACACTCAAATGTCACAACTCGCCCCCCTAGCTGGCGGTCAGGTCCCTCTGACTCCCAGGTAGCCCCATCTACAACTACATGCTATACACCTTCGTGGGTGCGCGAACCAGTAGGCCGGGTGCTATGTCGCCCCATCGTTAGTCGCCTATCTGCAATTCATAACATGTGAAGATCAAGTCATCTACCCCTATGAAGTACATCGAGGACAAACCCATCGTCCAGCCGGAATAACATCGATAGGCGGAGTTAGGCACGACATGTGCCATCCCCTAGAGCACCTATCACACACCAACATACGGGCCGCCTGACCAGCCGACCCACACAGCATGCACCTCAAGCTAGCACGTACTATCGCTAAGCTTGGGTCCATAGTGCCATCTACGTTTGGGAGGTGGCATGGCGCACAA